TAAACGTGACGGGAGAGATTTCCTGTGGCGGTTACATGTGTTAGTCATCATTGATCAACTGGTCGATCATTGAAAGGTGAATAAAGATGCGTCAAACAGACACAAAGGTAAATTCATAGATTGCTGGAGACGGTCAATGTCAGCCAAGGCACGGATCGAGTCGATACTACGATAGTTTAGATGTGCATTCCTGCGTTTGTTTATTAGGATGGGCCGTAGCGAGAATATTCGTGAACAATCATGCAGTCACGCTCTCTGACATTTCTCAATGTATACTGAAACGCTGAAACCAAGAATAAAGGTTCAAAATGATCAGACAGAACGCTGATGCATGTTTTCGTGCCAGGGGTTTCCCCAGGAATGTGGAAGTAGTCCATCAGTATTTACGTTATTTTATGGTGGTAAAGAACGGAACATACGTGTCCCACTACTAAACATATACCTACTGTTACCCTACATCACGGGCAGTTTGGGTTGTATACTCCCCTTGGAGACCGGAATAATAATGCACTTTGAGCATTATATTCAGCATGCTACATGTTTTCACCTTGAAAAATGTCGCATTATCGCCCTTCGGTAAAATAAAAAAGATTATTTAAAGCGCGACAATGCGACTAATGGCCAAAATGTCACGTTGTCGCATTGTCGCATTATCGCATTGTTGGGCTGTCGTTTATTTTGACACTTTTTGCTTGTTTTTGTTAGGGCTATAGTGTGAATTTGCGACATGTCCCTTCTAAGATTCCATAGGTGAACTTAAAATAGACTGGACGGCAAAGAAAGTATAGGTCGAGTTCCATGATTGATATAACAATAACAAGAAGAGGGGTAAGAAATTTCATTTTCAAAAGTTGTCTGAAATGTCACCAAAACATTGTAAGACACACTACAAGTTCATTGTCGACACATTTGCCTTCAATAGCGTGTATGACCTCCAGCTGCCTCAATGCATGCTGTGACACGCCGCCTCATCGATGACGTCAGTCGTCTGATGACGTGGACTGGAATCCGTCGCCACTCGTCTCTCAGGGCATGCTGCAATTCTTGGCTGTTGACGGGAGGCTGATGGCGTGCTCTAATCTTTCTGTCAAGACGGTCCAACAGATTTTCAATATCGGGTGAGTGGGCAGGCCAGGGCAAAACGTCAACGTTCTGTTGGGTTAAAAAGTTCCGAGTCAGTCTTGCAGTATGGGGCCTGGCATTGTCGTGTTGAAACAATGTCCCCTGCTGTTGGTTTTGTAAGAACGGAAGCACAACTGGCTGCAACACTTGGTCTCTGTACTGCACAGTGTTCAGTTTTCCCTGTATAATCACCAAATCAGTCTTCTGATCTCCACAAATACCGCCCCATACAACGACACCTCCCCCGCCGAATGGATGGACCTCTCGAATACACGCTGGAGCCAAACGTTCCCCTCTGCGTCGATAAACTCGTTCTCTGCCGTCATTTCGAAACATGTTAAACCGACTATCGACAGTAAACAGCACTCGACGCCAATTTCTCACTTGCCAGCGTCGAACCTGCCTCGCCCATCGCACTCTCAGGCGCCGATGTTGAGCAGTCAGTACCATTCCTCGGAAAGGACGATACGCTCGGATTCCAGCAGCACGAAGTCGTCGTAGTACTGTACGTTGGGTAATGGGATGTCCCAACGTTGTTGCTACCGTCGCCGTCTTCCAGTGGTGTTGTCACTCGGGGTCGTCCGGTTCAAGGCCTGTCCTGTGTCCTCCCTGTCTGCCTGTACCGTTGAATCAGCCTGGCTACTGTCAATGGTGTACAACCAAACCTTCTGGCAATTTGGATATATGTTGCCCCCATCTCGGCCATATCGATGGCTCATGGCTCTCTCTCTCTCTCTCTCTCTCTCTCTCTCTCTCTCTCTCTCTCTCTCTCTCTCTCTCTCTCTCTCTCTCTCTCTCTCTCTCTCTCTCTCTCTCTCTCTCTCCTGTGACAGTCGTGGCATTTCTTTTGTGTGCTTTCATCACGTGTGGTTATACCCTGCAGACCAACGCATTTATACAGCTAACATGCACGTGCAGTTTATGCCATAGGCGGGAAATCTGTTTCACCATGTTTTTTGTCACCGCACGAGCGCCGTCAAAGGTGGCGCGTTCGGGTGAGGTGTTGTTTTGTACCTGTTCCTGGGCAGTCATATTCCCAATACCCACTTTCCACTAGTTATCGCTGTTTTTAGGAAAATTACAAATTGCCAACCTATACTTTCTTTTTCGGCTTAGTTTATCTGACAGGCCGTGAAATAACTGGAATACTGTTCAAACTAACCCAACTCACTCACTCAATAAATAAAAACAAGATCAGATCTAGACGAGAAAAGTTAAAGATTTCGCTGAAAAAAATGATTTTATACCAACATATGGCTAATAAAACTAGCTAATTATATAATTATCATAGAAATTACGGACATTACATTTTTTTGGCGAAAAGTTACGGAAGCGTAGTCGGGCCACGGTGAAATTTTTTTTGATCTCATTATATCCTACGTAGGACTTAGTATCTCCAACGGAGATAATCAGACGGAAAACAATTTCACCGTGGCCCTACTACGCTTCCGTAAAAAGTACATTCTTAACCTTATCACGAACGCCTGATGTCATCTCTCATTTACAGTGATCCATTCACATAACTGTCACCGCTAGGTTGCCTTTTACGTCCTTTTCGGCAGATAGTCGAGGCAACTTATTCTCTGGCGTTGACGTTTTACATTTACAGTCATACAATACTATTGTGTTACTGTGTATATTTATAAGCATTATCCATGATAAAATAGGGTTTCGTATACTAATAAATATGTACGTGTGCTGAAGGAAACAGGAAGCAGCTCTTCTTGAATATCGTTGCAATATTCATAACACACGTTCTTCGCGTTATACTATACATCTGTAACCTTTAACGGTAACCAGACAAAGCTTTCACAGGTTGAGTCAAAGTGAAAGTAGCATATCAACGTGAATACTAATTTCCTAATCTCGTGTTAGCTATAGTTATAGATACACATGTAGCTTAACGTAACAATTACGACTCAAATTTGGAACACATATATACGCAATTCCTATTGGCCGAGTGCTCCTTAAAGATTGCATTTATACTTCGTCAAAAGTACTTTCTCGGATAGAGGATCTTATGATCAATGGGTCACTTCTTTATGTCTATCAAACATATCGATTTTGGATACCCGAAGGCATTGTAAGGAAATTTGTAAACTGCCTATCGATTGTTAATTGTGTTTTGGACAAAAAGGTTCAGAATCAAATAAATTATGCACTTGATCGCTGTTCTAAGTTTGCTAGCGTAAGGATATTAATAAAGACCCCAATTTCAACGCTTCTGTTGCCTTAGAAGTTTGTCATTTATAATTGCGCATGTTACAAATACATACATATGTTTTTCTCGTTTAGCTTGTATATACACACGTGTTTATTTTCCTGTAATGTGGTAAATAAGCAAGATTCACAGCCTACAACAGAATAGTCACTGTTCGTATTTTCATTTTGTTCCTTATACCCCCTTCCACCCACCTATTCACCCATATTCCTCCATCAATTTTAAAACTGATAAAAAAAGAGATATATTGACAAATAATTGTCAGTTTTATCAGCCACTGTTTGCATTGTTTGCAACGTTCCAAAGAATTATATTTTTCGGTCATTAGATTTGGAGTTGAAGCCGAATATGTGCTCGTCCGATTTCGGGATCACAATTATATTGATAAAGATGCATGTAAATTTTGCAGACAAACGTTATACATGTACACAGTTATGTTTCCCTTACAAAAAACAGATGGATTAGATATATGTCTCTTATGACTTTCGAAGCATCATTAACCCGTAACCCCATTAGGACAATAGATATGAAATGCGTTGTAAATATTATTTAAAAACAACTCGTTTCTCATAATTACTTTTGACCAAACTGTCTCCAGGAATTTGATTTAATGCTGAAGTGCTTGTAAAATATAGTTTAACTTTCCCGCCAGGGGAGACAAGATATCCGATTATAGTATAGGCTCAGGCAGGAATATACATATTTATGAAAACAATTCTCTATCCATTTAAACTGTATGGTAAACAATTGTGCGTTCTGATGTAAGTTATGTAGTTATCTACTACATTTTTACCCAGACAATGAGACACACACAGACACACACAGACACATCCATAATTTTGACAAAACTATACTTAAGATATACATAAAATCTTACAATGATAGCTGATTTAACATATGTTTTAGATAATAATAGTAATGCATTTCAAATTGTTATCAACTTTAACTATGTGGCCACACTGATTATATGTCTCTCCATATGTGTAGTTTACACAAATACACATATCAACTCTGGTAACGCCACAGCGATGGGGGCAGTGGGGTAACCTAGTGGTGAAAGCGTTCGTTCGTCAAGCCGAAGACCCAGTTCGATTCCCCACATGGGTACAATGTGTGAAGCCCATTTCTATAGTAAAGTGGTCAAGAGAGGATATTGATAACCGCGATAAAGCAAAAAAGCGATAAAGCGAGAAAGTGAGAAAGCGATAGAGCGAGAAAGCGATGTCACCTCTCGGCCACCATAGTAAAGTGGCCAAGAGGGGATATTGCTTAACTGCGAGAAAGTGATAAAGCGATAGAGCCATAAAGTGATAAAGCGAGAAAGCGATAGAGCAAGAAAGTGTGAAAGCGAGAAAGTGATTTCCTGTCTCGGCCATCACAACAATCAGCAACAACTGACGCCGTCGTGGTACAATGGCACGCTATCGATGCATTTCACGATTCATTAAGTCGCCGTTAACAACCAACAGAGATCCCTGGAAATCAGTTCTAACCCGGACCCCAAACGGGGAATATAGTCTACTGATTCTCGAAAACAGTGAAGAGCTACTGTAAACTGACGTCTCTTTGGACGCAGATGCTAAATTCTTTTTGTCATTGTCAGATCCCATCTCTGGGTAAATGAACACCAATGATGTCATTAAGAACCAAGTCCTACCTTCCAAACACAGCGGCGCTTTCGTCACACGATGCACACTGCATCGCTTCCCTGCCGGACACGTGTGATCTGCGCACGGACCCATCAGCTCCTTGGAATAAATGAAATATTCCGTCAGACATAACAGTTTTCTACATTCCCATGGTTAATTAGTAAGGAATTCAGGTAAGGTATGTTTTAAAATGCCCACCGCCTATTTAAGCAAGAGTGGATACAGCTTTTTGAAAAAGGTATGGTGCACTTAATATATAGAACAATTGTTTTTTGTTTGTTTGTAGCTTACCGCCGCCCTCAGCAATATTACAGCTATATGATGGCGGTCTGTAATTATTGTGTGATAAATATCATGAGCATCGAATTGGGATACAATGAAATGCATCAACCAAGTCAGCGAGCCTGACCACCCGATCATGTTAGTCGCCTTTTACGGCAAGCATGGATTGCTGAAGACCTATTCTACCCCGGATCTTCACGGGTCCTAAAACAAATGACGAGAGTGGGTGAGTTGGGTTTAACGCCACTTTTAACATTTTTCCAGTTATGTCACGGCGTGTCAGCTTAATGTGGGAGGAAAGCCAGAAGTGATGCAGGTCTCAGACGTTTACCACTTCGGGGAAACCCACGAGCACAGGTATTGTGCTGACAAACCTAGAAATGTAATCAGGTCGAGCCGGGATTCCAACCCACAACCATAGGTTTCCAGCGTTCCCAAGTGACGCAACTCTGCACAGCAAATCGCAGCGCCTTAGACGACTGGTCCATCCATGCCCCCACAAATAAATATGCATCGTTAGCCAAAAACATCAGTTCTGTCATGGTTAGAGTTGTTGAATAATAAAAGCCACAAAACCCTTTCCGTAAGCACAAGAAACTTCTGCGAAAATAACAGTGTCCATTGTACGGTTCCGGCTATATCTCCCTGAACACAGCAGTATGTGATTTGGTCTTGTGTTTGTCATACGTCATCGTGATCAGCATGTATTAAAATGGGGGTACACACTCCTGCTGTCCATCTCTGGTTCCGCGTACGCATACATATAGACAACATAAAATATAACACATATGCATACATACCTTCGGCCAGAGAGAAATATCACTATGTTTCCATTGTGGTTTCGCAACAAGGTCGGTTGGTGCTGTTGAACTGTCTTTCTTGTTAAGGTGGCAAATGTGAAGTACAGTTTCGAATCCGAATGAGAAACAATCAAGATGTGCATGGCATTCAACGGCACACTCGCGTGCAGAGGACACTCTCCTCTTAATGATGCCAAATAAGCTGTTTTCCAAATAACTGTTATCTGCTATGATACCTGCTTCATTGAAACAAAGTAGTTGAACTGGACAAATACAAGTTACTATAAAATATAATATCGGCACCATCTTAAAGGATTTCAGTTGATTGTCACATGTACTAGTCACACGGCTTCCTTTGTACTGCTATAGTTCCGTGCGTCGCATCTGTACAGATCCTGTTAGACAGACGGTTTATATAGCCACCAAAAGCATCGATTTTCCGCATCCATTCATATAGTTTACACTGCTATTTTGCCGTTTACACGCAACTGAATCTGTTTCGGCGGAAATCGAGACTGATTATTCTCTGACGTTGATATAAAACTGACAATTAGCGGCATATATATATATATATCGCCTGGTTTCCGGATCACAGCCAACTAATATTTAGGATGTGTCAGTCTTCCGCGACAACATGGATCCTCTGGATTGTCTGCATTTATACATTTGAACAATTTACCTGATACCTAAAAGATTTTACAATTTCCTGCTCAGTAGAGTAGACACGAAACAAAACCACGAAACCAAGTCAGCTATTGGGTTATGGCTAAATTGCCAGCATAATCATGTTAAATGGGCCATGACAACACATGTGTATATTCCGGGTGCCGATACACGTCCCCAGACACCTATCCTTGTACAGAGAGGCGATAAAAACTGTAGGATGGTCAGGCTCGGTGACGTGGTCGAGTTCATGTTTTCGTTTACTATTTGCTCGATTCGATGCTCATGATGTCAACCACTGCACTGTCTCGTCCAGACTCGATTATTCAAAGATCACCTTCCTGTAGCTGTTACATTGCTATTTGGCAGTACACAACATACAAACAAATCAATGACAATTACATTTTGGACTTTTACAATGTCATGCATACCACCCGGGCCATCTTTGACAATTGGCCAGCTTTGCCAATTGTTATCGGGACTTTAACAATCCTTTAAATACAACCCGGATAATCTGACTTTGGCGATCTTGTTCAATTTCTCTTTCCTTCACTCAACGCCAATCAAGCCGGTCTAATCTTATATTGTCATGCATGGCGCGCGCCTTTGGGGCTCTTGCTGTAACATTTAGACGATTATTGACCAGTGCAGACTTCACGGTTGCCAGTATTGTTACTGCTGGTGTGCGGACAGTATCGACTAAATAAAGATTTGTTTGTTTGTTGTTTAACGCCGCACTCAGCAATATTCCAGCTATATGACGGCTGTCTGTAAAATAATCGAGTCTGGACCAGACAATCCAGTGATTGACATCATGAGCATCGATCCACGCAATTGGGATCGAGGACATGTATCAACCAAGTCAGCGATCCTGACCACCCGATCCCGATAGTCGCCTCTTACGACAAGCATGGGTTGCTGAAGACCTATTTTACCCACACCGACTTCCACACCTTTCATATGAAATAAATAATAATTCTAAATGTACTCGTGGCATTATGTTTGTTATATCGCCGCTGATGCTATGCGTGTGTCTCCGTGGTCTTGAGGTACATAGCCAGCCCGAAGAGCGGAAGTTCCGGTGTTCGATCCCCTGCCGCGTCATACCAAAGACGTTAAAGGATGGTACTTGTTGTTACCCTGTCTGGCTATTGATTTTCATCGATATAAATGTGTCCCTTTCCTTTATTCAGAGTTTGTCATGACGCGACGTTAAACCCCATTTCACCTCACTTCACCTGATTCTATGCATGTATTTCAGTATAGCCTCAAAGCGATTATACGCGAAATGTGAAGAATTTGTTACAGCTAGTATGAAGAATGAAATGTTTTTGTGACCATATATGAGAATGTGTACAACTGTGACGTGTGTGAGTTAGTGAGTGAGTTGTTATTAACTCCACTTTGAACAGTGTTCCAGTTTTATGACGGTCTGTCAGCTTGTGAGGAAAGCCGGAAGTGATGCAGGTCGTAGACGGTCACCACTTTGGTGAAACCCCTGAGCACATGAACACATGACAAACCGGGATGCGAACCCACGATGCGAACTCTGCACAGCGAATTGCGACACCTTAGACGACTGGGCCACTCGTGCCCTCGTAACAGGTGAGGGCACATGCACAAGCTATGGTGATATATACGTTACTGACAGATTCTGCTATTGAATACATGATACTGTGAGTTTACTATTGATTTTCACAGATATATCACTAATTCATAGTTTGCCAAGACAGAGCTGTTAATCAATAAAGTGCCTGAGGTACTTGTATTGTGTAGATGAAGGCAAACGTTGTATGGTTTTCTGCCCATTGTCAATTACCACAAGCACACGCAGCCTGGTAACGTATGGAGTGCAGTTGTTCCCTGGTGTATTGAACATGTTTTCCTTTACGTTTACTGAAGATGTCATCATGTTTCAGACACAGTGCCTGCTTTGCTAAAACTGTTAACTGTTTTCTAAAACATATCCGATTCCTGTGGTAACAGTAAACTTGTTAGATATAGTAGTATTTAGGAGAGGTGAGGGCTTATCTAGAAACGATAATAGTTATAAGCGACATTAAAGCCATGTCATATTAGGCAACCATATTGCCTCAAAGAAGCACGCGTAAAATGAGATCACATCGTCACCGCCCAACCGTAACAGTAAGTCAATGAAAATTAGGAATGACAATGACAACATCTGTTACTGTAGCAGAATCCTAATAAGAATAGTAATGACGATGTGGTGATGGATAAATGTATAGCGTATACACACATCCGTGAAGCCTGGGGAATCAGAAAATGAAAAGGGCATTGACAATGAAATGACGTGTTTTGTGAATAATGGCACATGCAAATTCCCATGAGCACACCTATACACGTGGAAAATAGTTAAGCAACACCCGTATATTCTCAGACCAGGCAACTTTAATGAACTAGAACATGAAATGTGTAAAAGATTTCCATACCAAATAAATTATTTAGTGAAAAGAAAGGGTTGAGGAGGAACATAGCCAAGATTACCAAGAAATGATGTGGGTGTATTTTAGATGTTACAGATTTGGAAAATGACTTAATTTCACCCCAAAAAATTACGAACGTCACGTTTGTTGCACAGAATTCACGGAACTGAAGAACAATGTCTTTCAATCAGTATTTTGTATAACATCCCGTAACCCGAAAACTGCTTCAAGACGCTTCCTCATTCTATGGATCAATCTCTGGATTTGATTCCGAGGAATTCTGTCCCATTCCTCATGCAATGCAGCAGCCAATTCATTGAGCGTATGGACAGGTGGGCTCTTAAAATGGGACAGTGTTGTTATATTTGGTATTACGACATAGACCATGATGTACAGAGTAGTGAAGAAGGCCTGAGGGGGTTCGTACCATAATATTATTATGTTGGATACGAAGAGTAACCAAGAGCAAGCAGTATAGTAAGATATTTCACCAGAACTACGTTCGGTTTTTCTATCGTGCGTGCGTGCGTGCGTGCGTGCGTGCGTGCGTGCGTGCGTGCGTGCTTTAAACGTATGCTTAGCCCACTGGCCACTGACAGTTATCGCCATTTGTTATTTAAAATTTTTTACTACTATTTCAATTTTATTGTACTGGTCTAATAACCTTTGATTTTCGTGAAACTATTCGCAATTTCGCTCATTTCAGTACGTCCGAAAGGTTGCATAGATTTCTGTTTTGGGCGTAGATGGAATCTAAACAATGGAAATACTTGGCTGCTGCCTAAAGCGGTAAACTACTAGGTTATTAAAGCGTGTTTTCGTAGATTCTTGTTAAGTACTAATAATTACCTCTAACGAAGCTAAATGTGAATCATCTGGTTGTTGGATGTTGACTAAATTTATATTGAAGCAAGCGCAAGGTGCTTCTAATGAGTGTGTTGAATAGTTCCCCAAAAGAATCTATTCATCATTTTCAGATAAACATGTCCGACCTCCCTCTAATGCAAAAGAGCGAAAGTTAAACGAGTCGCTATTCACGCGCCTTAACAGGTTCTTGGCGATAATTGGTCCTCGGTGATATGGTAATAAGCTACAGTTAACACAATATATATTGTCTGTCATCGTTTGTTGACATAAAAAGTGATCGTAAATGCTTTTGTTACAAGGTGATAGGTGTAGGCAAAGTGCACTAATAACAAAATACATTGAGATTGATTGCAACCTTATTCCTTCGGGGTTTCGATAACCATATTTTGTCATGTACTATACAGAATTATATTTAACTATTTTAAACTACATAATGTTCATTAAATGTAGAACCAAATAAATTTCATATGAAACTTGGTTCACTGAAACCTTTTGACAATGAGACCAAACAAATGGTGATCCAAAACTGAACGCATCTGGTTGCAAAGCTCGCTTCGAAATCCCACTGTAGCTATACATTGCTCAGCGATGAAGACGCTCAGCGATGCCTGTTTAATACATATATTCCCGTTTTAATTCCGGTTTAGATTATAGTCATTTGTATGTTGTCAACATTTAGTTGATGTTTACCTAACTGTTAACGGGCGATTCGACGCCCTGGTTCGTCTCAAAACATCTCCAAAACGTTTCTCGAATCATACACATTCACAATAATGAAACATTTTCCAAAACATTTCCGGGACATGTCGCGAAATGTTTGGGGGATGGTTCTATTTAATACTTTTTCCGCTGAGTATGGTTATGAGATAATGTTGTCACAACGTATTTCATCCTTCAAAGACAACATTTTGTTACGTCGCTGTGACAACGTCCATGACAGTCCACAGCATACAGTTGCATGGACGTAATAATATAACATTGCCACAACATACAATACAACGTTCCCATAACGTAAAATACAAAATTACCACACGTGAGCGTGATGGGTCACGTTAGCCCACAACGCTGTGCCAACATAATGCATGTAATATCGTGTGCACGTAACATTATAACATTGCGACAACGTAAACATGACATTGCCTAAACATTGTAACAATGTGAAATTGTCAGCTGGGATATTGATTTTTGTGATCTGATACATGTACTTGCAGTTCTCAACAAGCTACTCAGCTCTTCTCAGCATTAAGCTATGCATGTATGTTTTGTACCACCCGATCCCGTTAGTTGCCTCTTACGACAAGCATAGTCGCCTTTTATGGCAAGCTTGGGTTGCTGAAGACCTATTCAACCCCGGATCTTTGGGTCAGTTCTATCACACGGCGGGTTAGGGTTAGATTT